TAAATCACAGCATTTCTTTTGAGATTATTATTACATGAAAAAAAAAAAGTTATATTTTCTCTTTTCTAATTATCTATATTTAATATACATTCAATTTTGTTTATCGTATTAATTTTGAACTGCAGTTGCTTCGCGGTATGAAGGCAGATATCCTGGTATATATGCTTGGTGATGATGTGACCCCTGTTGTCGATTGTTCACAGGATACGGTTGCGAAGGATCATTTGCCACACTTGTGTTATTCCTTGTAACATAACGAATAATGAGGAGAGTACTAAGAATAATGAAAAGAATAATGACTACACAACCAATGGAAATACCAATAATGGCACTAGTGCTGAGATTTACATTAGCCGTCGCATCTGAGGTGCATGTGCTATTAGCATTAGTTCCAGATGAAGAATAGTAGCATGTATTACCCATTATTTGATAAATGTTTCTTATGAATATGTATTGTTCAACAAAAAATATATATGTATTGACATGAATTAAAGCTCGGAATTCGAAAAGAATTTCTTTCATAAATATTCTCACTATTCGGAAGTAGAATCGTTTATTATTAGGATTATTGAGAAAAAAGCAATCAGTACGTAACTATTCACAAAATTTTTTTCCGCAAATCTATTGACTGAATGTAGTTGGAAATTTTTTACTATGTCATAATACCATGTCGTAAATAAAAAATCGAAAAGAATTTTGAAAACAGTTACAAAAAAAAATACCAAGTTTCTTAAGTAGAATGTTTGATGGAAGAAACCTACTCAACAACACATTGGAGAGATTATACAAAGTATGCATTATTCAGAAAATGAATCAATCCCAGAAGAGAAAAATTTCATGACTTGTTTGTTCTTCGTAACACAGTAGACAAAAAAAAATGAGTGATTGGAAACTAACTTGTAATACTTCAATAAGCTATTTCCTAGGCATCTTGAGTTTGTTTTTCCAACTTTTCAGTTGGGTGTCACATATAAAAGTGTGATCAAGCCAAACACCGTGCATTCTTACCTCCGTTTCAGTTAGAAAAATGTTTCATATGACTAGACTCTGCATTTTTATTATACTCATATTGCTAGAGCGTGTTTTTGTTACGGCAGCGCCTTCTCCTCTCTCTAAGGCCGTTAACTTCATGGTTGGTAATGAAGGTGCAAACAAAGAAGCGAAAAGTAAGTTTTACCTGTAATATTGTTCTCTACAGTTATGTTATCACATGATTACCTAAAATATTGTTCGACAATAACTATTGAGAATATCGTTTTTAAGAACCTAATCAAAATTAAAGTGAGACAATAGAAGCTATGAAATAGAGAGCTTATCTATTTTATTCTTACAAATTAAACTATCGTAGATAATGGTTCACCTAAATCAGCGGCAGCAGCATCGTCATCCTCATCATCAACTTGTTTTGCTAGCGGTACATTAATTACTTTACCCAATCAAAAACAAATTCCAATTGAACAACTTCAATCCGGTGAAGAATTATTAACAGCTGATGGATCTACCATTTTCACTACTCAGATGGTGATGATGCTTGACAAAAATAGATTATCACAAGGTAAAATTAATATCAGATATAAATCATACTCTGTCGTATTTTATTTAGCTATTTTTCATACTATTACAACTACATCTGGACATAACGTTAGTCTTACTGAACTTCATTTAGTTCCTATTATCGAAAATGATAATACAATAAATTATATTCCAGCTAAACAGATTAAGATTGGTGATCTTCTTTATGTTATGTCTAATGGTCAACTTGTTTCATCAACAGTTACAAATGTAATTTTGGAAACGAAAACTGGTTTTTATGCACCATTGACCACTAGTGGTAGGAATCAATTGAATTTCATTGATTTTTATTCTGTTTCTATTCTTAATAGGTACGTTATTTGCAAATGGTATTATGACCAGCTGTTATGCTAACGTTCGAAGTCATAGAGCAGCACATTTATCTATGGGCCCATTACGTTTTTATCATTGGTTAGCTCAATTATTATCTATTAATGAACCTTTTGGCCATCAGAATATGGAAGGTGTACATGTTATACCGAAAGTTATGTATGAACTTGTTCATTTCTTGTATCCTTCAGCACTCCAAGTTTCATAAAAAAGACAGAATTATTGATATGTTCTCATTTTTTTTTCATACATTTCATAATATTTATCGAAATAATTATTTAACATTTTTTCACTTAGTTCCTGCTGTTCTTTTTCGAATTTCTTTTATTTAATAGTCAATAAGGTTTGAGTTTGCTTTTATGACACATTTGTTTTTATATTCGTATATCGTAATGATCGACAGAAAAATCAAAAGAGAAAAGAATTCTCTCACAAAAATATAATACTGAAAGTTTTCTTTACATATTTTTGACTGATATCGATGATATACTATACAAGCTAAATGATAAGGATTGTACAATATTATTTGAAGCCTTTCAGAATAACAAAAGTACATCATCTTTTGACAATTATTTATTTAATAGGAGCAAATAAATTACGAATAATTGGATCATTTTTACATCTAAAAAGAAATGAATAATGTTAATGTACAAATAGATTTCTATTACAAACATACCCAATAATAAATTCTTCTTTACTCAATTTTTTATCACCACTAATATCAAGTTTACCAATGATTTCTTTTGCACGTTTTTTTGGATGTTGATCACCTTTTCGATCAGTAATACCAGCACGATCATACTAAAAATATTGAGTAAAAATAAAAACGATCAAAATTATGAAGTCTTACAATGGCTGTTATCATATTTTCCATTTCTTTTTGATCAATATGTCCATCTTCTGATTCATCCCATCTAGATAATCAAAGAAGTTAAAGAAATATATAACAAAAAAATAATAATTTCATATATACATATCAAATACAAATGAAAGACGTGATCCCAAATCATTTAAATCATCAATCAAAGCTATAACAATCAAAAATTCATTAAAATCAACTGTACCATCATTGTTGATGTCAATCATATCAAAAATAGCTCTAAATATCATAGTAAAATAGAATTTGATAAAAACGAAAGAGATATATTGATGTACTCGATTGATTTATTTGTTTCTTCTCGTGGACGCAATTTTTTGTAATATTCAACGAATGATTTCTTATCTAATTGACCTGATGGACAATTTTGAAGAAAGTCCTAAAATTCCAAAAAAATAAATATACTGAAAAATACTTTTCAATCAAATATATACCGCATGCCAATGTTGAATTTCTTGAATTAATAATATAAATTACAAATATAGTGAATTCACATTAATAAACAACAACATTACCTTCTTCGTTAATTTGTGAAGCTTTTATGAGTAAAGACATTTCTAGAATATCTTATGAAATTGAACATTGATAAGAAAAAATAAAAACAAACCTTTTGGAGTTAAGTCCATAGATATACGGCCTTTCGTGTTTTTCGACATTTATCGATTAAAAAATCAATGTCAAAATAATTGTGTTACTTTTTATCAAAGGGCAAAATGTCTTATCGTTACTTTTTGCTTTCAACTTACATCACACGTATTTAATAGAATTTCATAATAAAATCTAGTAGAAAGAAGTATTAGAAAATCAATATCAAAAATTGTGTCTATAAATATTGCAGATCTTACTCAAATTTCAAATAACCTACCAACAAAATGTTATAGTTTATTATTACAAACAAGAAATCAAAGAAAAAAAAATGTGGAAAAAAAGAGAAAAAAACATTTGATGTTTGAAGAATTTTTCTTTTCTTTCCTATAACAAATAACATCTTAAAAAGATCATCAAAGTAGATTTTTATTGAATACTGTTCTTTTTTTTCTTTTCAAGCAACTCCAATCCATTGAAATTTTAAAACAAAACGATGACGTTCGATAAGCAAAAATCACACAATCAAAGATCAATATTGAATTGAATCGGAATGTAGTATTGTATTATTGATTTAGTTATTCAAATGAAAAAAAAAGATAAGAAAGAAAAAAAATACAAGCAATTCTTATATTTTGATGAAGAACATAATAACGACATTTTTTGTAAGAACAAATATATGACAAACAGCATCTGAATCCAATTAATGCATTTCTACAAATAGTTGAAAATCATCTTAAAGAAATTCTTATAATAATTCATTTTGATACTATTTGATGAAATTTCATATTTCATTACTGTATTTCAGTACTATGAAGCATCTATAAAATCCAAGATGCAAGGAATAACATTGATGATGGGAAATGCGGACACACGTAGGTGTGGATATTAGTCTTTTGTTGCCGACATCAATTCTACACCCCACATTCACATCCACTCATAGTTTATCAAATTCTACAAGTAATGCATCAAAAATAGTCGGCGTAAACAATGGAAAGTTTCCCGTGCAAATATCAGGGAGAACACTTGGCCTATGATTTTTAATAGGAAAATATCATTGTAAAATCAAAATTAGTCATTTCTTCTCATTCGAAAATATCCATCCGATGGTAATATCGCGAATTAACGAAATTTTTATTTCTTATTTGTGTTTTGCACAACTGTTTGAAAGTATTCATCATCTAAATCCTATATATGTTAACGTGTTCTATTCTCTTCTTTCATTCACTCGATACAACATCTCCTGTTATAACCAGTGTCTCTACTTGAGTACTAGGTGAGTTTTTTCACTATTGTTGACATTATTAACTCATCGTATTATGTTGTTTTCATCCCACTAGTAGAATCATTTGAAAGGATAAAGTACATACTGTAAACATGCTACAACGAAAACGAAATTGGGATGCATCAATCCGTGAATCATTACAAGTATATGTACCTCTCAAACAGGTAAGCATTGAAGCGACGATCTGATCATTTGCCGCGAATATCACAATCATACAAGTGTTTCAAAACGATGAAACAGTGCCAATCGAAGTCGTCTACTGTTTTCCTATCGAAGAACAAGCAGCCGTGTATTCATTTGTAGCACGTATTGATGATCGAGAAATTGTCGCTGAATTAAAAGAGAAATAACAAGCTCAGCGAGAGTATAACGATGCTCTTCGACAACATCATGGTGCTTACTTGCTTGAACAAGATAATAAGTCTCAAGATAATTTTTTATTAACGTTGGAGCTTTGCCACCGAACAAAGAGTGTCATATAACAATCTCTTATGTTACTGAGTTGGACGTCATCAAAAATGCGAGCACGATCCGGTTTGTCGTACCAACAATAATTGCACCTTATTACAATCCAAACAAAGGTGGCATCGATTCACCGGCAAGTACTACAACAGAATATGTTCAATCAGCTTCATATAGAATTCGATTTCATTGTCTTGTGGAAAAAGCTGGAATATCACGTGTCAGCTCAATATCCCATCCAATTCAAATAGATTTCAACCAAGAAGAGGTGTATACGATTGAATTTGCTCAAGAAAATACTCATTTAGATCGAGACATAATCATGGATATTGAATTAGCCGAAAACCGATCGAATACAATTGTTGCCGTCGAGTCCAGTGCTATCATGGTATCGTTCACTCCTACCGAATATAATTATCGATTTGTAATGAATGATAGTAACATGACTAACGAGTTTATCTTCGTTATTGACTGTAGTGGATCTATGCAAGATGAGAATAAGATTGGACTTGTTCATCAGGCCATGTTATTATTTCTCAAGAGTCTACCTATTGATTGTCATTTTAATATCATTCGATTCGGAAGTACATATCAGAGTTTATTCAGTGAGATGACGACTATTTACAATGAAGAAAACGCACGCCAAGCTGAACAGTTCATTGATGGCATGAAGGCAAATTTGAGTGGTACAGAATTAGTAAGTTTCATTGCTTTGTTGAATAATACACTGATTTAAATAAATCATTTGTTCTAGTTGCCACCTCTTCAATGGCTCAAAGAGAATCCTCCAGTTTAAGGTTATGTTCGTCAAATTTTTCTCCTATCCGATGGTGAAATTTCGAATGTCGATGAAGCTCTTGATTTATGTCGTTCTATGGTCACTTCGACTAGAATATTTTCGTTTGGCTTAGGCCATTCACCTAGTCGTTCGCTTATCAAAGGTCTTGCTCATGCAACAAATGGTCGTTTTGTTTTCATTCCACCAGCTACCAATGTTGACGTATATGTTGGTGAACAATTGCAAAAAGCATTGCAACCTTGCTTTTTCAATGTTCATATTAAGTTGAATCTCGATTCAACACTCATTGATATTGTTCCAAGAAGTGTACCATCTGTCTTCATCAATGATCACCTCATTGTCTATGTTCTTCTAAAAGACGACAAATTAATGTCATTCAATCATGATTTAAGTATTGAATTATACAGCGAAGAAGGTCGTTTATGTGAGGCTAAAATAAATCGAATCCCGAGTGTCAGTGATGATGGAATGATTGCTCGAATAGCTGCAAAAGCTCTCATTTTGGAACTGCAGCACTCAAAACTACCTGCATCTACCAAGAAGGACTTGATACATTCCCAACAAATTCAACTCAAAGAGCATGATCAACAGCCGATGGTAACAACGACTGAACAAAGAGTCATGACAAAGGAACAAATACAAGAAAGAATCGTTGAAACATCACTCAAACATCACATTTTGAGTCCATACACAGCTTTTGTTGGTATTGAAAAACGCATCAATGCAAGCAATGCTGATATGATCTTACGTGAAGTGCCTATACAAATATCAGCCGATAATGCATATTTGAAATACTTGCAGACAATCATCTCTCAAATGCGTCAAGATCAAGCTAGAGCTCAGATGGAATATGCAAGTATGGCTAAAAGAAGTCAATTTGATATATTCGATAAAGGTAGACAGCCTTTACAGTCTCTTCTCAACAATTACATTAATGTTCAAAGCCGATTTGATCGTACTTCAATGGACAATGATGAAACACGACAACGTTTCGATCGCACTCTCACAGATTATAAAGAAGCACTACATCGTCTAGATGTCAATCGCTGTAATTATGAAGAAGCACTAGCTAGGTCTCACTGCGCTATAAATGATTTTGAAGAAGCTCAGAATCATTTTGATCGCATAGACATGGATCATCGAAAGGCTCACGAGCACTTTGAACACATCGCCGCAAACTATGCTGATGCTCGACAGCATTTTGATCGTACTTGCAAGGATTATCTTAAGACTGAAGAGCATTTTGATCACACTCGCATGGAATATGATGCGGCTCGAAAGCATTTTCAACCCATTCCAATGGATGATGGTGAAGCTCGACAACAGTTAGATCAAACCAAAATGATTTGTGAAGAAGCTCGAAAGTAGTTAGATCATACCAGAATGGTTCGTGATGAAGCTCAAGGGCAGTTAAATCGCACTGAAATAGCTCATGATAAAGCAGAAGCGAAGTTAGAACGCACCAAAATGGTTCGTGATAAAGTTCAACAAAAGTTAGATGAAACTCTTATGGATCGTGATAAGGCTCAATACTGCTATCATGACGCGATTCGATCGCTTGTTCTCTGCTACGAAAATCAAGACGAATCTTCTACAGTGATTTCTGAAGAAGAGAATCGACAGCTTTTGCAGTAGTGTGACAACGAGGTTTCACCCGCTAAAATGCTTTTGAAAGAGGCTCAAGATTCTCTGAGGTGCTGCATGCAAGAGATGCAGTCTGCTGAAGAGCGTCATGCAAGTGCTATGGAATCTCTCCGTCACCATAATGAGATGTCTTCCTCTGAAATTAAGTATACCGAAGCTCTACTACGCCACGAGCACCAGAAAAATTCTACAAAAAAGTTGCCGGAGGTCACAGGTAATGATGACCAAGGTGATCAAGATATTGTTCGTCACATAATCTCTCAACAAAAATTTGATGGTTTCTGGGATGTAGACATCAAACTTATCGAGCAATTGACTGGCAAGTCATTGTCAGAGTTTCAACAATTAACAAACATGGAAGTGCTCATTTCGGCCATTATTATTATTGTGCTCGAGACGCGTTTTTCCTCCTTGTCGTCCCTATGATATGATGTGGTAGAAAAAGCCCGTAAACGTCTCTTTAATATGCTGGACAAAGACAACAATAAACTTGAGACTTTACTCGAAAATATTCGAAAACAACTATAAAAATTTATGTGTTTAAAAAAAGTATTTCATACTTTTGTGAAGTAGTTATAATGAATAATCACTATGACTGAAAAAGAGATGAGGTAAAATAATTTTAAAATCGCATATTTTGCAAATATCTCTGCGCAGCCAAACAATAAAAACTTGTACCTTTTTAATTTACGACGTGAACTTATCTACAATAGTTTATGTAAAAAGATGTTCTTGACTTGCGGTATTGGATTGATAGAGAGCTAAAATAAAAGATGTATTAGATGCTTCAATTTCTCACTTTAAAAACCTACATAGATGCTCCAGACAAAACAAGTTTACGACCTAAATCAAATCTGTTGTACCGAAACTCATCATTCAATAGTGCGAGTATTGTTTAGATACAGAAAGAAAATGAATTCACATGAGTTAAGAATTAGACCGTCTTATATATCTTTGATTTCAGTGCTCTCTATAAGTTCATTATCAAAGACCGACAGAAACTTTTGTTTAAACTATTGCATACAAGAATGGATTGAGTGTTAAATATGAACGTTAGTTGAAGGGAAGACTCACACTCATACTCTCTACATATCTCTCTCCGCATCCATCTATACTCTCTCTTTTTCGTTCAGTATTCGCATCAGGGATGTTTTTAACAACACCTGCGTTTCAATCTATGAGAGTACAAGCTCGATTTTCTTGATGACAATACATTACTGCTATTTCTCAATTCATCTAGTGACATACTCTAGATAACATGGAAGGCATTATCTCAATTATTACTATGGACTTCATCTTGAATATGAGTGTCTACAATATGGAAAAAAGAAATTAGAGAAAACGCAGGAACCATTAGAGCTACAGCACATATTTTGAAAATCATTAACAGCAAATTTACTTGATAGTTTGATTATATGTTTTTACAATAGAGGTGAAATTCATTTTTTTAAATAGTTCTTAGTAGATGAAATAAACGATGCTAACAATAAGCTGTTTACAAAAGTAATTTCTGATGTTCAACAAAAGTTGAACGATTGACGGAATGATGAATCTTATCTTAGTAGCTCAATACAAAGAAGAAAATAAGCTGGTTTTTTTTACATGAGTTGAACAAGTTTTCAATGCACATGCTTTTACTGAGATGTGCCCTAACGTTTGCGCATTGGCTGTTAACTAAGGATGAAAGTGATAAAAGTGGCTTCATAACAAAGTTTATTTAATAAAAATCTTCGCCGAGTCTTATTTCTGTATTATTGAGTAGCATTCATTACTATTCTTCATTTTTTCTTTCAGGACAAATTGACCATGATCATATTCATCGAGTATTAATTCAGATATTAATTCAAAAAATTTATGGTCATCATGATGAGGAACAAAAGAGACGACAATTTTTCATTCTTGTCTTACTACAGGAACGTTTTTCAATTCCTAGAGTCTCGATCTCGCCTTGTTTACTTACGTCTTTTACTTTCCCATCCTAGGAGAGGGCTGAAAGGAAGCCATGCATATCCCGTCGGTCTCTCATTATGATAGAGATATCGAAATATCACTACCATGGCGTAAAGTATTATCAAAAACACACCAGAAAGATGACTTAGGCGTCAAAAATAGTCTCCAACACTAAAATATTACTCCTGTAACCCCATGAATGATCTTGACACATGCAACGATAACTTTCATTTATGATTAAAGTAGCCCCATGCTGTTCTACATTTAAATTCTCTAAGAATTCCACTAAAAGTATTCATTTCATGTATTGCAGCCAGTTGTGCTAATGATCATTGATGACAGCATTATAATAAAAAATAAAGTTACAAAAAAATCTCGCCTGTAATGAACTTTTCACGTGATTAGTTTTAACAGTAGTGATGGATCTAAGTTAAGATTTAGTTAGGCGATTGCGTGGTTTCATTACTTTCTTAAAGTGACACCATAGCGATCCTGAACACTCCTCTGCCGAATCGTCCTCGTCTTCGATTGTTTTGATATTTTCTGTTCCATCATCAGGGGAAACGGAGGTAACTTGATGAGGCAAAATATCTTCTGTGATTGTTGTTCTGGGTTGATCATTATCTGATGATGTAACTACTCCATGGTCAATCATAGTGTCGTTGATCCAGTTGCCCACGTATTTTCTACCATCGGCAAAATCCATGCTACCATGTCCATGCCTTCTGTCATCTTTCCAATTCCCGTCGTATCGATCATGATTCGGCCATGTTAATATTCCAAGTCCATTCATCAAGTCGTTCGCCCAGTTACCAACGTATTTTCTGCCATCGGTAAAATTCATGCTACCATACCCATGCCTTTTGTCGTCTTTCCATTCACCTTCGTATCGATCGTGATTTGGCCATGTTAATATTCCATGTCCATTCATCATGTTGTTGATCCAGTTGCCCACATATCTTCTACCATCTGCCAAATCCATGCTACCATGCCCATGCCTTCTGTCATCTTTCCAATCCCCGTCGTATCGCTCATGATTCAGCCATGTTAATATTCCAAGTCCATTCATCAAGTCGTTCGCCCAGTTACCAACGTATTTTCTGCCATCGGTAAAATTCATGCTACCATACCCATGCCTTTTGTCATCTTTCCATTCACCTTCGTATCGATCGTGATTTGGCCATGTTAATATTCCATGTCCATTCATCATGTTGTTGATCCAGTTGCCCACATATCTTCTGCCATCGACAAAATTCATGATACCATATCCATGCCTCTTGTTATCTTTCCAGTCCCCATCGTAGCGATCATAATTTGGCCATGTTAGCATTCCATATCCAGTCATTGTGCCGTTGATCCATTTACCCACGTATCTTCTGCCATCGGCATAATGCATAGTACCCTGCCCATGCTTTTTTCGATCTTTCCAATCTCCTTCGTATCGATCACCAATGGGCCATGTGTAAACTCCATTTCTGTTCATCATACCGTTGTTCCAGCTGCCTACGTATTTTCTGCCATCAGCAAAACTCAAGGTACCATATCCATGTCGTTTGTCATTTTTCCAATCCCCTTCGTATCGATCATGATTTGGCCACGTTAATATTCCATGTCCATTCATCATACCGTTCATCCAGTTGCCTACATATTTTTTGCCATCAGCAAAATTCATAGTGCCCTGCCCATGTCTTTTGTCATTTTGCCAATTCCCTTCATATCGATCACGATTCGGCAATGTTAATATTCCATGTCCATTCATCATGCCGTTGACCCAGTTGCCTACGTATTTTCTGCCATCGGCAAAATCCAAGGTACCATGACCATATTCTTTACTATCTTTCCAGTTTCCTTCATATCGCTTACCGTCTGACCATGTAAACACACCTTGTCCGTTTATTTCGTCATTGACCCAATCGCCGACGTAGTTGTCACCGTTCGGCAGATTCAAAGTACCTCTGCCGTGACGCTTACCATTTTGTATAGCTCCCTGATATTGACTTCCATCGGGATAATAAATGATCTTAACGCTACTCGAGTCACCATCCTCTCTTCTGTCGTAGCCTACCAAAAAGAGACAGATTTCGATCGATGGTGGGATATAGAAGTGGTCTTCTAGCGTGATGTTTAGTCCTAGTTATTTGATACACTGTAGTAGGCACAAGTTCACAAAAGCTGATCATTAGCTCACCTAACATACCTCTAACAGACTTAAACTTTTTCCAACTTGTCTGTTTTAGTCATCTTTTCTCTTGCGGGATTCCGGAACTTCGCCAATAAGACTTTCGCCAAATAGGACTCTCGCCAATGGCGAAGGTCCACTGTACTTTCGCCAATACATTCGCTGGAATTTCGCCAATCGGCGAAAGTACAGTGGACTTTTGCCAACACACCCATCAGAATTTCGCCAATTGGCGAAAATACAGTAGAATTTCGTCAATATACCCCTGGACTTTCGCCATTGGCGAATGTCCTATTGACGAAAGTCTTATTGGCGAACTTCCGGTAACCCTCTCTTGCATGCAGTCTACCAGCAACGATTTCTTAATTTTTTTTCTCATGATAATATTTATATAGTTGAAGAATAGAACTATGTGATAATCTTCATCGATAAAACTTCATTCATGAGAACACCAAGCAAGTGAATTTTTAAAATTGTACAGCGTATCGTGGTATTCACATTTCGAAAATCTGCGCTTGTTTTTCACAAAAATGTTTCTCTTATGTCTACATGAGCGTCAACAGAATCGAATAGATTCATCCTATATTTGTTATTCTTAGAATCACACTTGGACTTGTTACAAAAGATGACCAAAATGGCGAAGACTCTCGATTAAAATCATAGTAGTTTTACCATAGTTCATATTATAGTCGCACATCGATAGTGCTGATGATGTTTTCAAAAACAATAAACTTTTACGGAACTACGAAGAGAATCAAAACATGATCAATGTCAGTGAATATACACAGCTATCCCGACAGTCAGAATAGTCATTCATTTTTAATTCATCTAGACACTTTTAAAAAAGATATAACATCTACTATGAGGTGGTCAATCATTTTAAACATGTCTGATAGACAACGAGACGAACAGAAACTAATCAATCATCAGTTAGAAACACAATCCATTTAGTTTATAATACTAAATGCACATACCTGCGGTTGTTGATGAGATTGCCGTGACTTGGTAAAGAGTACGAATTCGTTTTTTATCCTAAAATTCATGAGTACAAATACTGAACTTGATTCTCTTGGAACATGAATAGTATGAGTTTGATACAATTTTTAGTCCAATATCTATGGAATTACAATGTACAACTACATGAAGATAACATAACAGTAAATGAAGATATACGATGCTTAAAATTGCAACTAGCACACTAAAATGTTTGTTATGGTGTAGGTGTATGTTTTAGTGCGGAAGATCGATTCCTTTTTCTTGTAATATACTTCAGCACTAATTAGAAGTCGTTTTTCACAAAAGTCTCATATTCGATTGAATCTACCGAATATTTCAAAGATCTATCTTTCACATTAACTACATATAATGTTTGGTCCTTCATTGCTTTTACGAAATAAAAGAAATAATTCTCAGTGATTTCGAATGAAAATAATGTTCTGACTATAAAATGAGGTGGATTCATTTGGAATAGCCTAGTCTTCTGTCCCATTGCTATCTCTTCGACTCTTTGTTTAGGCCAAACTGTTCTCTATTATGAGCATTTGCTCTCTTATAATACATAAGTGCTTAAGAGCGTTGAAGTATATTGAGGCAAAAATTGATCTCCATTATAGCCTGTCTTATAGACGTATCAGAGATGTCGGAAAAATCTTGATTTCTTCACCAACTCTAATAGAAATATCGGTTTTTCAATGAGTCCGTCACAGACCATAACAGACATATAAACATGCTAATCAGCTCATGTCGCAGATTGCTGAGTGTTATTTTTGATATAAACGCTTTTTTCTGATCTGACAGAGACTTCGACAAATAAAAATGTCTCGTCCTCTTACAAATGCTACTCCTTTAAAACTAATTTTGGCTAAATATAGATATTCTATTCTCATTTCGTTTCTTTTTTTAGAAAGAGATAATAAATGAAATCTGTTTAAAAATGCACTATTGGTTGAGAGAATATATTATTTTAGTTTTCGTGGTTTTATTCCTCTCTCGCAAGTCTAACGTTTATCTTCTTCACCGTTACTTCATACTTATGTAAGCTCCTCATCTGAACTTCACAAAAGACTGCGTTGATCAGTTGTTTTCTTGACATTTGGATTTGAAACGTAATAGATTATTGAACATGGACTTGAATGTTGTCTTTGTTAGAGTTCCATATTATGGTTCGATAAGCTCTCAATGTTGACTGAAAAGACATTTTTTTTACTAGATAATACCCTATCATGATTGATATCGAACAGCTAGCTGGCTAGATATTTTCACGATTTACGGCTGTTACGAGTTGGGTTATGTTTTTTGGTGCATCGGTGAGGCGCATACTCTCAGCCTATTCTCTTTCATTTGATAATGAAATATATAATGAGACTTATAGAAAAACCTTCAAAAAAATAATTTTTGTAAACTGCTATCTTTCGTTCTATATGATGTTATGTTTACTATGCATGCCATTTCTTTGTTCTTCCATTCATTTAATTGCTTTTACTATATCTATCGTTCTTCACCCAGATTCTTTCTGTCATGTGTTCTCACCACATCTTTGTTGTGGTCATTCACCTTATTCTCTTGAAGCATGTACATAAATCAATGAACTTTGGATATATACTGTGGACCTTGTTTTAGATGCGCCGGACAACAATTTATATGGTTAGAAATGAAAGAAAACATTCTAATTTTAAAAGTCGTAGTATCACAGATAATTAAAATATGATCACGTCAATAAGAAAAAGTAACGAGTTTGTAACTAAGTATTTTACTAATAAAGTCTGTATTGATCCATGGGTCAAAATCGTAGGCAGCCGTGACAAGTTAATGACACGTCATGCCGTAAAACAGCCCGTTAATCAAAGAAGAAAAAGATTGTACTTGTGAGGCTGAATTCTATATACATATATATCAAAAGGTAGAAATCATATAAGGAAAGCCGTTCGATCAAAACGAGTCTATCGGTGGTCAGTCGATTATCAGTACCGTTTTCATCTCTAGCGATTAAGCCTTTCCATAGTTCTTACTTGCTTTTGGAAAGAACTCACATTTTGTGGCATAGAAAAGAAGGTCAACAATAAAATTTATACTAACCGATTCAGGTAATACGGCGTCGGGCTGAAACACTTGGTACGTTGGATACATAATCGAATCAGAATCATCTGAATGAGGAACTCCAAGACTATGTCCAATCTCATGTGTAGCAGTTAAACGTAAGTTGTAGCCCACTCCATCATATCTTTATATTCAAACAATAGACCAATCGAAATAGTTTAAGAATATACTTACGTCTTTGTCCAATTTTTAACTGAATTAAAGTGAATACGTCCGCGAAAAGTAAAATCCCAGGGATAGAAAGCGTGAGCGAGAACTGTAGTAGGCTCATTTATTGGGGCTCCATCTCCATGATCACCAATCACAAAAGACACATTAAAATCAGGTGTTTCAGACTCATTTGCTTCATAAAACGTTAATCCACCATGACCAGCCCAATCATCGAACGCTTGTCTAATGGCTTCTCGAATTTCATTGTGGTCAAATGGTAACTTGCCAATATGCAATTTCCACTTAAGTATGCGATCCTTTGGCCTTAAGGAAAAATGTTGTTAATAACAATAGAACAATAGGAATATATCCGGTAGTTCAGATAAAAATGGTAATGGTCTTATTTTCAATTTATTTCTAATCCATTTCAATCTTTTTCTCTATAAATTGTAGCAGAAGATGCAACGTGAAATTTTATGTAAAATATTCATATTGAGTATTTTATAGGATATAGAAAAAATCTTTACGATGAATACTACAAACTATTAATTTTGCCACCTTTCCAACTGAGAAATCTTCTACATATATATGCATTTCAAAGGAAGTCACTGGTTATGACTTGTCGATCTGCAAAATCCTACAAAACTCTTGTATATTCAAGGAAAGTAAATTTGGTTAGTTAAAAATTTATTTCTTTATAGTGACCTCTGATAATGTTTAAAATCAAATTCATGCATCCTCAAAAGTGATTAAGCACGTTAACAATGTTCGAGACACTTAGTATTTATCGAACACTTTTTAGCTTCTACATTTCTAATAAAATATACAGTACAATATTTGTAAAGAATTTCACGGTGTTTTGTTCAGCAAAACAATCAGAAGAGATTCTTAAGTTACGTAAACATAACAAAAAAGTATTTTTCTTTGGTTTTCTTTTACACTCTTTTGTTGCAACACCAGAGAAAAGAGATAATTCAATCTTATATTTTTTTTTATGATCATCTAAACTAGAATTCATCTCATCAAAAACTAATATCTGGAAAAGATCTTTCAACAACATTTTATAGAATGTTCTAATATACGATTAGTCTCACCATAAGAAAATACGACAGAGTAAAATGAAATATTACCAGAGGCTACTTCGATCAACAATTTCCGATAAAGAATCGGGTACTCCGCATCGTGGTGTATTCATCAACTTCAATGTACGAACATCAAGCTTCTTGGTTACAGGTAGATTATACTTTTTTTGAAAGTTTTCCAACATATTTTCCATGCTAACTTGACACGATGGACCAGTAAAATCATTCGACTTGAAACCAGTGGGACTATCACATGGATTATAGCCAAATTCAGTGAGAAATTTGAAAGCATCTTTGTTGGTTTGTACAGCAAGGACATCATGATGATTTTCTGTATTCTCTGGGCTTTTTTCGTCGTTCGATGAATATTCATTAATTGGTTTGGATCTTACTAGTTTAGGTAGAAGAATAATAAAAATCAGAAGCACAGAACACTGCATCTTTCTCTGCATAGTTGGGAGGTATTAATGAAGGAAACTTGAATCGTATTAAATTTTAAGATGGCTTTTATCTTTTTTTCCATTCACTGACATTGATGATGAGAAAAAGTAATGTAATAAAGAAAAAAAACAAAAGATTGCTTAAAGCACACGAACGCTAGCAAGAGTGAAATTGAAGCATATGATAAGATCCTATTTCGTGTTATCGGTACACAAATTTTGATCATAATAACTTTAGATTTCGTTGTTTTTTGTTTCGAATTAATGGAAAATGATACAATGATTTGTGAGAGAACTGGTTATTCTTGACTATCTATGTCAATTTTCAAAATTTACTGTACTAGTCATAAAAACAAATCTATGTCGTATGTGGATTTTGAATTCATCTATGACTCTATACATTATCGAACTCATTTCGGATATCTCAAAAAAATAAAAGTATGCCCTAATATATTTCCATCTTCTTCAAAATATTGATTTATTATTGTGACATTGTATGATCATATCTAACGATGATTTCATATAGTTTATATGCCTTTGCAAGACTTTGTAGTCATCAGCAGTCACAGATTGACTATTCCTCAGAGGCTAATTTTATATCATTTTCTCGTTTTATTCAAATCCTATTTTCTGCAGAATAGAAATATTTTTAAATTTGCTTACTAACTTATCAGAATATACTGTCAATCCATATCATCAAAAATCATGCAAAAATTGGCGAGTTGTTTCCTATCATTAGCAAAAAAACCGCATATTAGCATTTACTAGAGTACTCATATATCTTTTTCGTGAATGAGGGTATATGATCTCTATTCTCAGATTTGTGCCAAGTAATATAAAAAAGATTTGAAATAACATAATTCTTACTGTTCATTGATCAGATCGGATTGTCTAAATGAAACAAAATAGAAATTTAAGTGAGGTTATATTTAAATTTAGCTCATTCTCATATACTATTAATATTATAACTTTTTACAAGTTTTACACAACATTACCAGGAGTAATCATCAGTCATTATGTGTCTAGCTGTAGAATCTCAGCAAGCATCATCCTTATCGATATTTACGACAACGATTTCGTTCGAGTCAGAAATAGAATTTCTAATAATCAGTGCTATCGAGGATTAACCTAGCAATCATTATAGCCTTAGTATTTTTCAATTTTGTTCTTTTTACTGAGATTCCATTGAGTTCAATTTTTCATCAGAAGACTCACACATAAGTAATTGAAAAAAAGCGTAATGGCTATTGTATTGTGAAATTAGAACTTGAAAAATAATATGAAAGATTATTATGTTCAGCAATAAAGTAGAGAAATAAAAGGAAGTAAAAATAAAATAGATGTTAAGATTTATTTTCTTAACTTTTATGATAGAGAAAAGTGAAATTAGTACCGGTTATATTTCAGTTGCTATAATGAATGCGATTGTCCTGATTTTTTAAAATTTTTCTATGTACACATTGTAATTCATGAATTAGTCATCATGTAGACCTTGAAAAGTTCTCCTCTCTATCTATCATTTCAAACAGAAAAAAACTTAGCTGACTCCGAAATTAGTCACCATCTTCTGTATTTCGTAATGTTTCACATATAATTCACTGTGATAGTCACATTTCCATGTCCATCGCATCATTTTCTTGTATGTTTGTTCAAGAACAATTTTTTCATTATTCGATTACATAATCGCTTTGTCATGGTCTCAATAGCAGTGTTAATGTTTTGTTCATTTTGAATAATTCAAATTTATTGTCTTAACTTAGACATTGCATTCACAGCAGAGATCAAAACGAATAAGAAAATTTTCAATTGACTTGATTCGATTGAACATTGTTTCTTAGAGTAGATATGTTTGTGAGCGTGACTGTCATACCCACTCTTAAAGCATCCTTTCAATACATGTAAGAAATTTATTGCAAAAATTTTTAAAAAAATGATTAGTAGGTATAAAAAAAAACTATTATTCATTATCGTCGTCGTTTTTTTGTGCTGCCGTCTTCGTACGAATTTCTTCATTTAGCATCAAAAGTTGATCAACATAATGTGATTTTTTGTCATTGTTGTTCAAATATTCTTTTACTCTATAGTCTAGACTATCTCCTTGTGCCAGCATCTTTTCAAGCTCATCAAAATATTGTTTCTCATCTGTACAAAGGCATAAAACTGCAAGGCAGGCTTCACGAGTTTGTTCATTGTTGATTCCATTCATTAAGACTTCTTTTGCTTTCTCGTCGTCTTCAGAACAGGCAAATCAGTAAACATAATAGAAAAGAAAAGAGATCAAAACAACTTACTGATAAAAGATGCAAGTGCTAAGCATGATTCCACGACTAATCGATCTTTTCCACCTGAAGAAAATATCTCGTCCGATGAGTCGCTATCATCGTTTTCTTGGCGCATTGGATTTTCGATTATTTTTATAAGAAGAGGAATGGCTCTTGAATCACCTAATTTGCCAAGAGCTTTTGGTATATCCATAGGAAAGAAAGGATTTACCTAAAATGAATCGACAATTCATAATGGCTTTGTCAATCACTTCTTTAATAGCTATTCACTTACGTCTTGAGGTAATAAACGTTCCAACACGTCAAATATATCTTCATACTTCATTTCAGCCAATGCATTCGCTGCACCTTTCACTGTACACACACTCTGATGATTTTTTATAAGGTGCATAAGCGTAGATCCAATGAAGTCTCGTTCATCACCTTCCGATGCTTTTCCTCGCTTTTCGAGTTCTTCGAATGCTTTGTTTTCTACCAGTCCGTGATAGTGATGATAGCAAATGGCCGCCAGAAATTCTGTGGATCGTCTAGACTTATCGTTTACTAGCGTCGTGTTGACACATTCCAATGAGCGATCAGAGTTTAATTCCTCGACTATGGCCAGATTCTCTGGATTGCATTCGATGTGACGACAGAAACTTGGAATCCATGAATAGAATTTGTATTTACGCATCGATTCATCAGCATTCGCTGTATCATTTTTCTCGTTAAAATAAGTGGCTAGCATTCCATAAGCATCTGCGAAAGTAGAATCGGTACCAATGAGTTGTTGGAGTCTTGTATAGGCTTGTTCTTTTTTGTCCTGCTGCCACAAGCATTCAGCAGCTTTATAAAGCCATACAGGATCACCATCATTCTTGCATAAAAACAACGATAAAGAGTATAAAATACTTTGCTTTCGCTAAATTTTTTCTTTCATAATATCATGTAGTCAAGACTATTGTGGAATAAAGTGTGGGCATCTGATAACTCAACATTGTAAACGAATCTCTTCTCTGAAAATTCATTAATCGAAGTGTTTGTTCAAGACAATGGGCTGTTATATGAACTTTAAAAATTGATTATCGATCACCGTTATATTAGAGAAAAAAAAAATGCCCACCCTACTTGTTTGATAGGAACAGAAGAATATTTGTAGGTAACTACGAATGCATACAGTTAAACTCATTTTTCGTTTTACTTACACAGAACCCATCTTCGTAGATTTTCACGGCTTCATCGAATTGCTTCAAATCGAACAGAACTCTTGCCAACTCGAGTTGAATTTTTCTTTTTATTTCCGTATTACCTTCAGGAATATGCTCAAGTACTCCTTTATAATGTCTTACTGCACTTTGAAATTGCTCAATTTTCCATTCTGCCTGTTCAGCGTCAGTCATTTTGGATGGAGCATAACATACACGATTGGATTTGTACGATACTCCTGGTCCATCCGTGCCTGATAATGAAAAACACTATTGATATTGAATACTAATTATTCATTTGACTTTTACCTAGACGATGAACAAGTCGAGCTGTTTGAAGGGAAATATTGATCCAATCTATAATTTTCTCGTTCCCAAGTTCATCAAATCGTTCTACACTAGTTTCCAGATGTCTCAAGCCGTCTTCCCATGCTTGAACTGCTTCCATATGTTGCCCCATAGAGTTTAAATATTTTCCAAGAATATCATATGTCTTGTAGAGTGAATTGTCTGTCGAGGATTCTTCAATCATTGTCCTTATTTTGGCAATTGCTTCCTTATGTTGCCCAGACTGAAATATCTCATCGATATCGTTGAGTTTTTCTTCCATGCTGTCTAATATAGAATTATCAACAATAAAATAGATCAATGATAAGTTCGTTCAAGGCATTCATTAGAGAATATCACTGAATGGTCTTTTACAATCTCGAAAAAGAGTCGTCGCTACGATATGATATTGATTTATTCCACAAGTATAATATCAAGAAAAACGCAAGTCATCAAAGTTTGGTTATGCCAACCTATCTTAATGACTTATCAAGCTCTTGATAAGTATCGAAGAATGTAATGAGACATTTCGACTCCCTAAGCTAGGTTTCACAGGAGAACTAAAAATTGATACCATCCTGTCCTATTCCCATGTATTATTCACTTCACTCTATTCTTTATCATATGCTGCATTATCTGCAGACGGCCTGAAAAGTTGTTAGAACACAAAACAACGGTATAACAGACTGCGGACTTTGAAAACTAGTCAAAATTCAAGGAATAGACAGATTTGAATTACGTTTTCTAGGACTTTAGTGAAGAAAATACAAGTTTTCAATACAAATTACGTAGACACATACCTATGATTTTGATAATTTCTTGATGTCTATAACGTAATATCGAATTCTTTCGTATCTTAAATACTTTTTACATTTGAAATTTCGAAACCAAAAATGAACAGGAATCTATATTTTCTACTATTTAATAATATGATCTTTTAACATTTTGGTTTAGATCGTGAGAAAACTCTCTCAAATGAGCTTCTGCGATCCTACACTATGGATTGTGTTAGTTGAGTGTAGAGAATCTCATTCACGATTAGGGGTGTCAACTTTGCGTTCCGTTCCTAGGAACGGGGAACGCTACCCCGTTCCCGTTCCTGGGAACGGGGAACGCTTCCGCGTTCCTCAGCGTTCCGTTCCTAGGAATGGGAACGCAATATACGTTTCTTTCACTTTTAACAGAAATTTTACTAATTCACCGAAGGAAAGCCAATTTCATAAAAATTAGGGATGTTAACGTGCCACGTTCCCCAGCGTTCCGTTCCTAGGAACGGGAACGCTTGTCAAAATCGCATTTCCACGCTATATTTCAACAAGGCGACGTCTCTAGACATATCCACTTTTCTTTTTACGTTTGAGTGTTCAGCGTTCCCCGTTCCCAGGAACGGGGAACGGGGTAGCGTTCCCGTTCCTGGGAACGCGGAACGGGGTAGCGTTCCCCGTTCCTAGGAACGCGGAACGGGGTAGCGTTCCCCGTTCCTGAGAACGCGGAACGCTGAACACTCAAACATAAAAAGAAAAGTGGATGTGTCTAGAGACCTCGCCATGTTGAAATATAGCGTGGAAATGCGATTTTGACAAGCGTTCCCGTTCCTAGGAACGGAACGCCGAGGAACGGGGAACGCTGACACCCCTATTCACGATTTTCATCAATCCATCATATTAATCTTGTAGTGAATACTCAAAAGCCATTTTTTCTTTGAATAGAAATCTTTGAAAGATTACAACAACAAAACAGCATTGTTTTTGTTATTTCTTACAGCACTGTTGTGTAATTTTATGTGTGGCTTTTATCGTCAAAATATGATGTTGCTGCTTGCATGTGCTACTTCACTATCAGATAGTAAAGAAAAAAAACTGCATATCACTCAAGTAATGATAGAATAGAATTGATGATTTACAAGTTAGTTTTCTTCAAATCAGACAACTGCTATCCGATCATACACCTAATGAAGAATACAACGAACTTGTGTGACATCTAATTAAATTACACATACGTGTATTTGAGACATTCTCTCTCATGCTATTCGCTATTTTTTGCTCAAAATAAAGTGAGCTCTTTTAATAAAAAGAACCTTATCAATATTTTATTTGCATCATAAGCATTACCACATTGGAAAGACAAATTGAACCAATTCTGATGATTTTTGAAATCGAAATTATGGTATAAATATTCTATTGTAAGGCATAGTATATCCAATTTGTCTATATCGCTCTCTGTTTGTTTAAATTAAACTTATTTGTCTTCCAAATTCATCGTTAGATCGCTCTCAATGATGTTGTATATCGCGCACTACATACCTGTGTGTCTCAGAAGAGAAATAAAAAATAATAGCAACGGCAATGTTTTTTATACTGTGTCCTTTCATACCTTCCTTCATTTAAATAATATAAAAGTGAATTATACACGTGACCAAACTTGAGTTATATGAGTCACAAACAGTCGTTGAAGGACACTATCGTTGCTGTGCAGCAACCTTCAATTAAATTATTCTAATGTCAGTGAATATTAATCATCAAGATATTCAAATAATATTTAAAGCTGAAAAGCAAACAGATAAAATTGTTTTGTGTGGTTCAAATTTTTCGAACTCAGCACCTTTTCTAATGAGAAAATATCCTGAATGAAAAATCAAAGAATTTTTATTTGAAATAGTTACGATATTTTTCTTTCGATTACAAATAAAAATATCGTTTTTAAAATACACTCTCGAAATGATCTTCAATTATTATGTATTTCTTTATATTTCTACAGTCATGTATTAAATCTCAAATAGAAAAAAACAATTATCAGTATTATATTATTTGTAATATAATGATTTGAACATAAATAAAAGTTCAAATAAAGAATAGATATGGTTGCTTAGAAGAAACAATCTATTTCTTTTCTTATCATTGCATTGTAACGTCAATCGGCTAATTACATGATCCATTTGTCAATAAAAAGCAATTGATAATGATACTACTAACATGTCGGCTTGTCTATGTACATATATTCATTTGAATCGTTGAATCATTAAAAAGAAAGAGAAATATAATTCATTGTTCGATTAACATTGATGATGAAGATATGTAAGATTTACTAAATTTATTTTTTTTAGATTCCATACATATAAATTTATTTTCTTAGATTTAATATTCGTTATCATAATAAAACTTATCTATTCTGTACAATATAATCAATTATGTACTTTTTCTTTTGGTACTTGTAATTGGAGTATTGGTCGACGATGGCATATTACAAGTCTAGATAATGGAGATAAAGGTAGGTATTCAATTGATTTGTTTTTTTGTTCTAATATAAATTTTTTTTTTTCATAGTTTTAATTGCTGATGCTGAAAGTAAAGAAGATAAACGAATTGGTTTTACTGATGCAATTATGTCATCATGGTTACAATTATCTCCATTATGTTCATTTGATATTCGATTAACATTTCAATATTATATTGAAAATGAAAATGATCTTATTGAAATTTATTTTATTGAAAAAAATCGAACACGAATGATTTCTATAGGTCAATGGAAAAGTAGAACAAATATAAATAATTCATCAGAAAATAATGATCAAATTTGGCAGCAAGGAAATGTTACATTTAAAGCAGCAGAAGAATTTCGAGTATGCAATAAATTAACCAAAAAAAAAACGGAAATATATATATACAAGGTTTATTTCTTGTTTAGATTGATATTGAAATTCGACATTTACCAAATAAGAAAAATAATCCTTCAGTTTGGTTTGGTATTGATGATATTTTAATTGAAAATTGTCCTATTGGTAAGTAAATTTGATCATTATATTAATGATGAACATTTTCTAAGAAATTATTATACGATATGTTTCATGAATATTTTCTTGATTTGAATTATGACTCTGTGAATATTTTGTTAGAATGTATCACATACCATTAGTAGTTATTTCAATGTGCTTTTCATTCGTGATTTCGCGTATCTTGAGGACTTTACTAAACTTTGTCTACTATAGAAATAGTGCACGTCTATGGCTTGTTGCGAAGAAGATCAAATGTGTCTAGTGAATTTTTGTTAGAGAATCGTACATTTGCAAAAAAGACAATCTTTTCGAATTTCGACCAAAAACTATGCCTACATGAAAAGATGTAGATCTACAACAATGAAATGTGTGTCTTTTCACATCTTCAACGAGTGACATAATATCATCATGCATTGAATGAGAGTATTATGAGTAGATGTCATAGAATTTCTACCAAAAAAATACAGTAACCGAGTTATGAGCATTTTGGTTCGCAGGATTTACTTTGTATTTGAATAAAATGATAGGATTCATGGATGAAAAGAAAAATGATTATAATAAACATTTCCTATATTGTAATTCTAGCCATTGTAAATACTACAAGTAATAATCTTCATACAACAGAAATCTTGACTACAACATCAATTTCATGGAGTACAAAATTATATTCAAATGAAAGTAATACAACATTATTCAATATACCTTATTGGAAATTAGATGATTTATCAGATGAACAATTATCTTCATCTCCTGGTCAGACTCTATTAACTTTAATTCTTTATTTATTATGTGCTTTAATAGCACTTACATTATTAATTATTCTTTTTTCTATTATTATATTTACATATCGTAAACATTGTTGTCCATCATCATCATCAATGATGAATCATAGATGTCAATTGGATAAAACTAAACAAAATAATCGTATTGGTATACAAATTGAAAATATTGATCGTGATAATCAAACTATAAAAACAATGAATACGACTGTACGACCATGTTTTGAATAAAAAACAAAAATAGATTTTTTTTTTAAAATAATTTATATATATACACTAATTATTTTCAAAACTCTACAGTTCAAGATGAAATATTTTTTGTTGTAAAAGATGGTGGATTGACATTTGAATGAACTTGAATTATATTTTGATTATGCCATGGTTGATCAAGTTGAACAAGAATATAATCATAGACAAATTTATTACAAATATTCTAGAATAATAATAGTATTTGTATTTATTCGTTGAATAAGAGAAAATATTTATAATATACTTTTTGAACTTTAACAGCAACAACACCGGATCGTTGTTTACCAGTCAAATAAAAAGAAACAGTCATACTTCGATGTCCTTTTTCAACAAACGTTCTTGCACTTCAAGTAAACAGAAAAACATTATCAATATTAAGTGAAGATTATTCTATATTAAGCAAGAGAATTTGAGTAATATCAGTGGTAGCAAAAAAAGAACCTGTTTATTGAAATATGTCATAATATGCCAAAGATAATATTTGACTCCATATCTGTTCTAGTCTGTGAAGAGAATGTAATAAGAAATTAGAAATAGAAATGTTTAGAGTAGAATACAAGTATCTTGAAGACTGTATACTATATCTTTTTGACTACTTTTTTTTTTATCGTGTACTTCTAGCTATTTAGTCTAATCTATATCGTGAATGTCTTGTCACAAAATATTCACCCATTTTTTTTTGACTACTGAAAGACAACTGGTTAGAATAAAAATTAGTAGGTTAACAATAGAATTTTTCACTATGTCCGAATATATGTTCAAAATTTTCTTCTAGGGTAGAATTGGTCAGATTGTTTCAAAAGATCAAAAATAGTGTTTGTACAGAATACTATTTTTATCGATTTTTCTGTCTCAATTGAAATCTATCAAAGTCAATATGCGATACAGTTTTTGAAAGCTGAGCCGTGGTTTTTTTGATCAATGCTGATTTCCATGGAAATATATGATGTCGACTTGAAGCTATTTCAAGACATAAACTAAAGACTGCGCGCAAATTGCTACTTTGCTTTGTATAGACATAAATTTGAATATTTTATAAAATTTACTGATAGTTGTTAAATCTTACTCCAGAAGAAAATTCCGTTTCTTACTAAATTTAACCAATTGTTTTTTATTGACTGCAATGCGAGTAAACATTTCTTGCCAAAACTTTCGCGTTATAGGTTTACTTGAAAGCTTTTTTTATAATATTACCTTTTAATTATTCATTTGTGTCTGTCTAAATCACGACTTTACTGACACTTCTAAAAATCACGCATGTAGCCTCCCCCGTGAAGCGTTATATTCGTGAAATAGTTTTTGAAAAAAAAAAGGAGTAAAATTTATTAATATCTTTATTCGTTTGATTAATTATACAAAATATTATACCATTGAGGGCAATTCAAAAGTTGTACTCGAGAAAATTTTCTCTTCAACCAGTATCATAGTAATAAAATTTTGAAAGGAAATATTTGCTTTGATATGTGACGATAAAATTAAATCACGTTGTCTTCGATGTATATTCTACTTTTGTTGTTCTCTCACAGTCACTCTCGAATCAGATGGATCATCAGGTTGACATTTGATAACAAAACGACAATGAATCTTCAGAAGACATTTTATGGGTTGCTTCTGAAATCTGTATTAATTCACTACTTTTAACTATTACAATCAACAAAACTATATCGTTTGACTATTTATTCATTCATTACTATTCATTTCATTGTGCTCGAATGACTACAATGTAGAACTATTTGAAGAATACAAGAAAATTTTATTTTTTCTATCTACACTGAAATAGACAAGGACGCCGTCTATATGAAAAAAAAAATGACGTCCCATTTATTGCGAACCTTTGGTCTTTTAGTGTTAAACTAAATGGCTTTGAATGGAATTATTTTTTATCATCGTTTTATTTCCATATATTACCGAACGTTATTGATCCGCATGGAACCAATTTGAGGGGTTGTATGTACTATAATCGGTAAACCTAATGCTTCTTGTACCTATTTAAATTTAAATATACATATTGTTTTTCTTAATTATGAACTTACATCAGTATTTGCTAAACAAATTTTTGATGCTTCTTTATAAATACCATTAGGTGTTTCTCTTGAATAGAGTTCATGTAAAATTAGATAACATAATCCACCTAATGCAACTACTCCAGCAACGACAACAAGTGAATAAATAGTATCTTTAGCAACTTGTTGTACTTTAATGAAGAATTCTAATATGAATAAAAAATATTTTATATTAAAAAAATAAATATACCTTTTTGTGTAAATGTAGTTATTTGTATTTGATTATTTTGAGATTGTACAAGAATTTCTTTTTCTTGTCTTTTAGAATCTTTGTTTTCATTTTCTATTGTTGATAATTGTCGTTGATTAATTACGACAAATGTACGAAATGATAATGTACGCCATTGATTAAAACATTGTTTTATAATAAGATGAAATGAAGATAATGTCATCTTTAGAAAAACAAAATTTTTATTTTTAAAAATTTATTTCAAAAACAAAAAAATAAAATAAAATAAAAGATAAAGATTAGTTTTATTAATAATTCTTAGCTTAATAAATAAAAACAGATCAATGACAGAAAAGAAAAAAAAAAAAAGAAGTAGAATAAATGAAAATAAAATATTGTTAGTAAGACGGAAGCAAAAATGGAATAAAATAAAATCACATATAAATGGTTTTCTTTCCAAACTAGCAATTTATATGAACAAAGAACACGAAAAAAAAAACAGATGAGCATTAAGAAGAAGATTCGCCTTTCAGATTCGTCTATGAAGTGAGAAAATACTGAGCATTGCGTACATATTAATAGAAGCATATAATAAATTAAAAAAATTGTTTTTTTTTCTTCGATGATTTAAAATATTGCTTATTCCATACGTGCATAATCAGTAGCATTTTCTTTCGCTTTAAGAATACCTATACAAAAAGAAAAAATCTATTTGTTTTTCAAAATGAATCTACAAATATTTACCATATTTCATACGAATTTGATCAGCTACACGATTTCGTTCATTGGTTCTTAAGAAGAAAAAAAAAGAAAAAGAAAAAGATAAATCATGATATCATTGAAACATATAAATTAAAACTTACCGAACTTCAGCTGCAGCTCGTCGTTCTTCCATTCGTTCTCCTATTCGTTGATCATCACGTTGTTGTCTTCTTTCTTCTCTACAAAAGAAAAACAAAAATTCATAATACATTTTTAAAAATAATTTTAATTCTTAATTTACCTTCGAATAGAAATACGTTTACATTTTCGACATACACAACAAATAGCAATAATTATAGCAAGTAAAACAATACCAGCAATAACAGAAACAATAATAATCCAAACTCGAAAATTACCTAAGATTAAAAACAAATATCTATTTATTCTTAAATTCTATGTTGAATTTAAATTTTCAAAAAAAAAACAAACAAACGAAATGAATTTCATTGCAACCTACAATAATATTCAATCATTTCCAATCGAAATCCACAAATACTTTCAAACATTTCGTCTCATATATTATTATCAAATGTAAAGAGAAGAACAGAATGAATATTATCATTGATCCAAATATCAGCTAATTTAGCGACAGAGAAAAAAAAATCATTTTCAACCTACCAACACACGTTTGCCATTGCAAATCAGCTGTGGTACATCGCTGTTCAAGTGCAGTTTCGGGATCATATCGAAAACAAAGTTTGGTATTCTTACAATAAGCACACTTTTGAAGACTCAAACATGTTTGACAATCTTGATTTGATAGGTTTGTACAATTGTCTGAAGAAGCACAATAAACCGAACTGAAAAGAGCAGTTATACCAATAATAATAATAATAATATATTGTTTCATTATCTAAAATAAAACATATTTTTCTTTTCCAGATTTCAAATGAGATTTTTTTATTCTCTGTTAATTATTCAATATTATTTTAAAAATCAGACTAATCATCTGGAAAATGAACATGAGTAAGTAATGGAGAAATTTGTTCAGCAAGTTTTTTTGTTGCCGTACATAAAATACAACGATGAAGAAGATTTAATGGATCACCTAACAAAATAGAAATAAGTGTTTTATTTAAAAATAGATTGCAAATTTATATTTACCTGATGGATCACATGTATATGCGCCAGCTTCTCGAGCAATTAGATCACCAGCAGCTTTTAAAGACAAAAGGAAAAAGATTTTTTTTTTATTTCTATAAAAACAAAATTTTAGAATTTTTTGCTTTTTTTCTTACCATAATCCCATATATGAATTCCATATTCAAAATAAGCATCACAACTTCCTTCAGCTACCATACATAAATTCATAGCTGCACTACCAATAGCTCGAATACTATATAAAAAAAAAATTCAATTTTATTTTTAATATTTATTTTCAAAATGATTTAATACCTATGAACTTTTTCAATAATAACTCGTAAATTTTGACATTTAGCTGTTAATACGTCAGGTTCTCGATTTGAACCGTATTCACCTGCTACTTGAGATAATGCTAAATCTATAAGAACAGAAAAAAACAAAGAACATAAATTTTTATTTGACATTTAATACAGCATGATCAACATCTTTGAATAAGTTTTTTTTTAAAGATTTTCTATAAATTCGATTCAAATATTGTGTCTATCCTAATTGAAGAAGAATTTGTTTTTTTTTTCTAATAGCTTTCTTCTTTCATTATGAAAGTTATAGTAGAAGGAAAATGGACTAAAGAAGTTTTAATATTTCATCTTATTTGTATAAATATTATTTCCTAGATTTTGATCGTTTCTGATATTTTACTCTTCTCACTAGGATCATATATTGTCTATAAGAAAAATGAATGAAATTTTAACGATTTAACGAAAGAAAATATTCGTCATGCTTAACATTTTACCATCATATTTTTTGATTTATCGTATCATTCTAAGTTTTATCGTACTCGACATTATCACCATTGTTGTGACCGGATCTCGAACTGCATTTATAAAGAGTGATATATAGCAGTATAGTATCGAGCTCAATTGAAATATTACTTGTGATGATATTAGTTCAATGATTTCAATAGAATTAATCATAGGTCGTATAATTCACATCAGAAAACGATTAAAATATGTCGAATTATGATTGAGTATATGGTTATGCTGTTGAGGACACGAGTTTTTTCTATTTTCTTTTAGGTTGACTTGGAAGTTTTGGTAGGTAGTTTATTTTTAAGTTGACTTTTTTGCTCATAGACCTCTGTTAAATACGTAAACTGGTATCATCACTTTAGAAGACGAAAGCTATTGAATTCAATTAGTATTTGTAATTTTTCTTGCTATTTATTTAATGTATTTTACGTTTCATTTCATCAATGATTTTGACCTCTTCAGACTCTTTTACTATGTAAACATGCGTAAGATAAAGTAAACACACATAGGTAGTACAAAAATATTTTTTTCTAAATTATCGATAGTAAAATAAACGATGAAAATCGAAAAAGTAACTTTTATTAAATATCACCGTCTATTTTATCTGATGTTTGATTTTATACTAAAAATAATCTGAAGAAGTCAACATCGTTGATTAAATATCATGTAAAATAAAATTAATCAATAGAAAATAAATTTCTGAATATTAATTCAATACATAAACGAATATGTATAATATTCAGAATTTTTCAGACAATCTTATTGACTGTAAATATGATGAACTTTCTTCAATCATCAATATTTTCATAAGTTATTTCATTGGTCTGAAAAATATTTTCAACTTCGTATTACTTAATGCTTCTGAAATATAATAAAGAAGTAGTTAATGTATTGTAAAGAATCATTATTGATATACAGTTCGTGATTAAATATCAACAAGTTCTTTTATGATCTGTGTAGGAAATAAATTTCCATTTTCTATACAGTAACATTCGTTTTCAAGAGTATTTTATAAAATATTGTAAAAGTACAATATCTCCATAACAATCAACTCAGAATATGAATTGTTTTTAAAGTAATCTAAACTCAAAAGTGATTCATAACTCATAAAATGACTAATATAGTACTTTTAACCATATATTGTTTTCTTATTTACCAGTTTGTCCTGATGATTTGATAGGTCGTCCATTTCTAAATGCACCTTTACCATGTACAGCTGAATAAAGTAGATCCAAAATTGGATTATAAATAACACCAATTACTACTTGTTTATTTATTGCAAGTGCAATCGATATAGCAACAAATGGAAATCTAATATTTATAAAACAAAATAAAATAAATTTTTTTGTTTTAATATTTTCATTTTACCCATGTACAAAATTTGTTGTACCATCAATTGGATCAATAATCCATGTTGGATCATTTTCAAATATTGTTTTAACTCCCGCAGCAGATGATTCTTCTCCAATAAATCTAATAATAAAAAATAATTAATTAATAAAATATTATATATTAAATTTTTATTTACTTATGTGTTGGAAATTTTTCTTGTAATTTTTTTATTAAAATTTCTTCTACACGTTGATCAAATTCTGTAACAAGATCAGCTGCACTACCTTTTGTTTCAACATGTTTTGTTATAGAAAAGCCTTCATTTACAACCTATAATATATACATATTTTGTTTGCATATTTTCTTTTTTTTTGTTTTCCACATAACAAAAATCAGTGGAGCATATTTTTTTTTTATTAATATTTTTCATGTTGCCTCATAATAACAAATCAAAGAAAGAAGAAAAACAACACCATTTTTTGTTCGTTTATAAAGGTAAATATACTTACTTTTCCTGCTAAAGATACGAGATCGAGTACAGTTTTGTAATAAATTTCAATTTCTTTTTCTGTCATTCTCTTTACGGATAGAAGACTATCTAGAATAAAGTATTAAAAAACATATATATGAATATAATTAATTTTATTATAAAATATTCAGAAGAAAATTTTATGCTTGTTGAAACAAGCGATTGTAATAAGAACAGTATTTTTAACTATTTCTTCACATTTATTGATCTAGAAGAAAAGAGAAATGTAAAGAATATATAAATCTTAGATAAGAAGCATTGATTAGAGCGTATTTTTTTTTTGATTAATAATAAATAACAGAATTTTTAAAGCAGTAGTGAACAATTCAAAACAAAGAAGATTAGAGCTAAAAGTTTGCCACTAATCACTTCTAATAGTCTTGAGAGTTTCAACAAAAACAAACATGTTTTTTTTTTTTCATGAGATATTTAATTTACATTTTATTAATACTTTCAGAAGTATCAAATCAGTTCATTGACAAAATTTTCGTTCGAAACTCTTATAAGTAGATCATGAACCAAAAAAATTTTTAAGCATTTCTTAATGTCATCAAGACCTACTTGTATTTATAATATGAAATCGAACAATATACAAAAGCTAAGAATATATTCCCTCATTAGTTCTGTCACTTTCAATTTTGATATAATTATGTAAAAGTTGCTCAAAAGCAAAACGGATGTTAATTATATTCAAAGAACTTGATAAGTCTTTAAGAAATTCTTCAAAGTTTGCATAAGACATGCAAATCTAGGAAACAAAAAAACAAACTCACAGATTGCTTATGTCCATATATTGTGACGATCAATTTTAATCATCATAGAAGGTATGACGTTTGTTTGATTTCTTTAACGTCATTATTTTATAATATATTTGCACTTCTAGTACAATTTGATTTAATATTGACTTTTAACCTCGTAAGATAAAATCTTGCATGATAGTAATTTCGAAACAAAAAAAAAAATAATTGATTACAATATTGACCCATTTATTTTTAATTATTTTAAAATATGATATTTTCAATGAGAATAATTGAATTAGAAAGAATTTCTATCTTAAATTGTAAAGAAAATACTAACCTGAATCACAATATTAATGTCGGAATCTTTATTGTTTGAAATTAATAATCTCTAATACAAGCAGAAAACGTTTCTTATATGTTATCTATTAATATTAATTCAAATTCTAGTTGTTTAAAATAATATTTTATGTTATTCTTTTGACATGAGAAATATACTTTTTTTATGTAATAGTCGATGAAGAAAAAAAAAAAATTTCTATGCTAATTCTCATGAGAAAAATGATTGATTACTTATAGACAATATACAGTTAATAATATAGTAAAAACTAAAGGATAACAATAAGATTATTCTTACATTTATATTATATTCCACTGAATAACACTTAAGTGAACATAAAACAGTCATGTACACACAAGAATGAGAAGAAAATTTCCATTGAAAATTATTATTATTATTATTGTAAACAAATAATTGAATCATGAAGCAGGTTGTATATATTTCAAAGGATAATAAATTGTTTTTGTAGAAGTCTTTTTTTTTCTGTTTTCTTGTGCTTGATTAATGATTCATTGCTAGGACTTGTAAACCTTTCTTCCTTCTTGGTTTTGACAGTGTTCTTCTCGAGTATCAGTAGAAAAGATGGCGTTGATAGATGGATTCCAATTTTATTCTTTTCACATTATTAATAGAAAATACAGAGAGACTATCAAGAAATTTACTCTACTAACGTTGACTTTCATACATATAACAGACAAGGATTTTGTCGTTTTTTTTTCTTTTTCTTTTTCATTCTCATTTTTAGTTGTCCTTTTGATGTTATATACGATCATATGAATATAATTAACTTCGTATGCGGACAAGTCGACATGAATAAAAGATTAGATTTAGAAGTTAATGCAGTTAAACTAATGATTAAGTAGAAAGACGATCGTATTTATTTTAGATTTATAGATCTCTCATTGACATCCAACAAGACCTTGATGTTCATTCTACTAAGAACAAGTATGAAACGAATAAATCAATTATGAGATCATCATTCTTTCTTTTTCTTATAATAATATAACAGCACTAAAAATGTCAGTACTTGAAAGATTAAAACTTCAGAATTAATCGTTTCGAACATTGTTAACGTAAGTGAATATAAGACAAAAGAAAAATATAACGGACAATTCCCTTATTAACATAGTACAGTAGATTTCCCTAATTCTGTCGGAAATATTTTACCACTTTTTGTTTCAATTAGTGTGCAACTATTATACATCCGATCAAAAATATTTTTATATTTAGGTAATCTCTGGATTTTCCTTTTTTCAAATGATATATTATTCGTCTTTCATTTTTCGTGTTTTCATACTGAAATTAGCGGTCTACGAAAAATGGTTTCACCTGACAGAATTAGATGGTAGTTCCCTAATCCTGTCGGTCAGCAAAATAATTTCCCTAATTCTGACGCCTCTAATAAATTACATAGAAAAATTCAATTTTAGGAAAAAAAACTATTTTTCTCATTTTTTTTATGAGAAATGGAGGAAACGTGTCTAAGACATTTTTGTAGCGCGCATCAAGCTCTATCATTATCTAAAGGTTCAAGACAATTGTATTTTCTTTTATTAAGATACAAGTCTTGCGATGAAGACACCCAAGGGTCGTGAAAACAAAATTGTGTTTAATTCTGTCACCCAGCTATTTTTTGTCCCTAATTCTGACGGTGACTGTTTTTATCCATAGTGATGACTTATCAGTCATTTTTTGTCCCTAATTCTGACGGTAACTGTTTTCACCCCCAGTTATGACTTTTCAATCATTTTTTGTCCCTAATTACGATGGTAACTATTGTTTTCGTCTTATATTATAAAAAGCAACTATTTCAGTGATGATAGTTCAGTAAAATATTAGCATACATGTATACTAATATTTTACTGAAGTATCGTCACTGAAATAATTGCTTTTTATAATATAAGACGAAAACAATAGTTACCATCGTAATTAGGGACAAAAAATGACTGAAAAGTCATCACTATGGATAAAAACAGTCACCGTCAGAATTAGGGACAAAAATTACCTTGACCGTCAGAATTAGGGACAAAAAATAGCTGGGTGACAGAATTAAGCACAATTTTTTTTCCATGACCCTTGGGTGTCTTCATCGCAAGACTTGTATCTTAATAAAAGAAAATACAATTGTCTTGAACCTTTAGATAATGATAGAGCTTGATGCACTCTACAAAAATGTCTTAGACACCTTTCCTCCATTTCTCATAAGAAAAATGAGAAAAATAGTTTTTTTCCTAAAATTGAATTTTTCTATGTAATTTATTAGAGGCATCAGGGTTAGGGAACTACCACCTAATTCTGTCAGGTGAAACCATGTTTTGTAGACCGCTAATTTCAGTATGAAAACACGAAAAATGAAAGACGAATAATATATCATTTGAAAAAAGGAAAATCCAGAGATTACCTAAATATAAAAATATTTTTGATCGGATGTATAATAGTTGCATACTAACTGAAACAAAAAGTGGTAAAATTTTTCCGACAGAATTAGGGAAATCTACTGTACTAGATGATGTCAGCAATTTTAACAAAGAGATATAGTACAACGACACACTAACTGAACACTTTTTTTATACATGATGAATAATTCAATAGTTTTGTATGAGTAATATATATCTTACTAACGTAAAGATGTATTTGAAATAGTTGTATATAAAGACATTGATGGAACTATTTATATCTTTTCAGTTGTATGTCTACATTTTAAAGCATTTGTTCATTATCATCCATTATACAAAAAAAAAGTTTGTGATTGTCCATTTGACGAATCCAATTTTCACAGGTATAACAAAAGTAAAATATTTTTTTTTGATTTTCTAGGTTATCAACGGATCAATTAAATATAATTTATGAAATCGTCATTGTGAAATTTATTCTATTATTTTAGAATGATTTTGCTTTGTATGTTTGTTTGTGTTTAATGATACACATAAAATCTTATTGATCATAGTAAAACAGAAGAATCTTCATTCTATTTGATCATTGTATATCATTCTTAAATAAAAATTTCAATAACATCATATGCTTAAAGCTAAAACAATGTGAAAATAAAAAAAAACATTATCAACTCCTATAATATATTTTATCAGTAAATAGAAAGACTAATGATGAATAGTACTAACTTTTCAGCACTATGATTCTCTTCTAAAGAAGTTTGAATATGATATTTTCTATCAAGAGATAAATATGATTATTCAAATAATTATTGCTACGCTCTCAAGATCATATTTAGAATAGATTAAATTTATACTAAAATCAGATCATAAAACATGCGCAAATATATTTTTCATCAATAAACTTTCGATATACATTGTGATTTGTTTATATCTCTTTTTCTATTAATTTTATTGATTAGAAAGTATGATTATGCAAGCGTTTTTGATAATTTAATAATTCATTTCGATTCAACTAACAATAATACACATGTGTCTTTCTTAAAATAGGCTTTTCAAAATTTTTAGATATCTTCATCTTATTTCAAAAGATAAGCATTATTTTGTTTGATCATATATATTTTCTTATAGTTCTATCGAAAATGACATAACAAATATAAGATTTACACAGAAAAAAAGAATTTTTTTATTACCGAGAAAGAAAAAGAAAACCATTGAATTAAGAATCAAATGTTGATGAATGTTCACGTAATTTTAATATTTTATCTAATATAATGATTGATGGTCCTAAATTGATTTTCATATCATTTCGTAAATGTTTTTCTTGTATTAGTAACAATGCTGCACCATTAATTTGAAAGTTATAAAAAAATTCAGCTATTTTATCATCAGTAATATTTGAAATAAAATTTTTGACGTCAAATATCGACCATTGATTTGGATCATTGCATAAATTAAAATTTTTCTTGTCTTTTTTATTTTGATGAATAATAATAGAATTTTGTTCTTGATCAAAAGATTTCATTGAAGACAAATATGATTGAATTACATTAGTTGTTATTGTTGATGTAGGAAGATTACTTGATGTTGGATATAGTATTGAAGAATTTCTTGTTTGATCTACAGCTACACTAGTTGATAAAGAATTATGTGATTGAAAACCTTGAAATGTTGGTGATGGTGTTGATGAACGAGGAAGAATTATTGGTGTTTGTCGAGGCATTACTAATGTTGTTGTTACCATTTGGATTTGTTAATTATGTACGTTCAATTAATGAACAATTTCTTATTCGTTTATTTGTCGATTGATCATGTTCATATGATCTAAAGAAACAAAAAAATGAATTTTAAAGAAAAACGAAAACGAACAAACTAAATTTTACCTTGTTCGTTGACGTTTCTTTTTTAATAAACTTGAACTAGTATGATGAAAGAAATAAAAATGAGAGAAAATAGATTAGATTTTTTTTTTGTTTTACCAGTTCAATTGTTCATGGTAATGATGATGATTAGCTCTTTGTGTTATTTGTGAAAGAGTAAGATCATCATGTGCTGTTGTTGTTGTTGAATCATCTACTTCTATTCAAATAAATAGATTTATTTTTATTTTTAAATGTTTTTTTGTAACTAACCATATGTATCATTATCATTATATATTGATGGTGTGTCACTATTAGATGATTGTAAAGTATCTTCAAGTGAATTTGATGTTGGAAATACTGCTGCAGGTAATTGTGTATGACTTGTTAATGATTGCATTGTCCTCTTTGCTGTTACACTTGCTGAACTTTCTATAAAAATAAAGAATTTCTTTTTTTTTAATTTTTAATTAAAAATAACAATAATTTACTTGAATTTATATCAAATGATGAACTTGTATGAGCAGTACTAATTGCTTGTGAAGAACTTTCATGTGGCTAATAAGAATAATCATCTTATTACATAAGAAAAATATTTTCTTTGTTTTTACCTGTTGTGTCATAAGAGAAGTACTAGAAATTTGTTGTTGTCGAGGAATATTTATTTTTGAAGAATTAGATACTAAAAAAAAATACCCAAGATATCGTTTAATATTTTATTCGTTCGATTCTTCATTATTTTTGTCTTTTTCAAAAAGAGGAAATAAATGTTTTCTTTTTTCATCGAAAAACACTTACAGATGAAAACATTTTCATTTGTTTGAGATGAAACAAAAACAGGTTGATTAGTTATGGAAGCAGCAGGTATGAGTCTTGCTTGAAGAATTTGACCATTTTGATTTCGAAATATAACAGGTTTTTGTACGTTATTAGGTACTTGAACCAACTAAAGGAAAAGATTTGTTTTAGATTGAATAGATGAAAAATATCACTTACTTGAACTTGATTACCATCAGCAACTAAATATATAGTAGATTCTTGAGATTGATTATCTGAATGATAAAGAGGATAAATTCATTGTTTTATTTTATTGATTAAATGTCTTACTTATTGAGATAGGCTTTTGAATAGATGATGCTAAGCAACAAAAAAAAAGATATAAATATATGTTTTTTATTTCTATCACTTACCCATTTATTTATATGGTTGAGTACTGGACTTGAAATACGTATTTCTAATGAAAACTTAAAATAAAATATATTCTTATTTTTTTGTTATATGAGTAAAGGTCTGGACATTTTTCTTTTAGTTGATACATCTGCTATTTGAAATATTGATAGTGATTAGTATCTTTCGACATGATCCTTGATCTTGAAATGATTGTTAAATAGAAATCAGTTTCGTAGAAAAGATGCAATTTATTCATTCTATCGAAATGATACTTTTATTTGTGGACTAAAGCATATTCAGTCTGTTTACTGTATAGTACGGTTCGATCGAATTTCTGTTAGATCGTAATAACATCAGCTTGATTCCTATAAGAATATGGATAGAAACAGGATGATAGAATGACATTCGGATTTCTAGTGTTGAATATCTGACTGGATGCTATTGTCGAAAACTTGAGATTTTTAAGTCAGTACTCATGGATTGAGTGTTATTTATATTGATGCGGATAAACAATGATCTCAAAACGTTGAGTTTTGATATTTGGCTTACTTATTTGAATCCTAGTTTTGTATCTTATTTTTGACTTGTTTTTCTAGGAATGACTGTTTGAGTGAACTGATATCTGTATATAGATAGTCTCATCCGCGAACGTGTATCTAATACACTGGATTTCTTCTTGATTGAGGACAGTTTTTCTTGATTGGACAAAAAAGGGTCGGCAAAGTAGAATTGGAGAGGAGAGAGACAAAAATAACTGCTATTATAGAAACAAGCAAATACTCATATGTTTAGATGATCAATACAGGTACTTTCATGTAAGAGGCAATATCACCTCCTTGAAGATATGCTGGTATCAGATGACATGTGTCGTCCACACCATTTTTTAATGTATACTCTGAATGAAATCTTTTAAAGCAGCGATAGATATGTATTCATAAGTGAAAAGCATCAACAATAATTCGGATTGAGCAAGAACAAGTTCGACAATGATGGTCTCTTGGATCTCGCTAGTTATTAAACTCAAATTTCTCTTTCGAATTGTGAAAATCGCAGGTTTCTAAATATTTTCGTTTTCGAGGTATTCAAAAAGATCTAATAAGTAATAATAAAATATTATCATGAAATATACTAGACGTGTTTGGAAAAAAACTGTCGAAGTTCTAGATTCAAACAATAATATTTTCTTTTTTTTTTTTTTTTTTGAAAGAGATATCTACTTTTGATTAGATAAACCTTTGTAAGTGTCATTGTTCGGTTTTTAATTGTTCCTAAAAAATCAAACGAAATAATTTTCATCTATGAATATGCACTCATAGTTTTTTTCGTACCAGACGAACGAAGAAAAACAAACAATTTCATTGTGGATCTTTTTTATACAATAACAAACTGCAGACAAATAAATCTTGCTTCGTCACTTGTTTATTGATAATAGTATGCAGAACGCAACATTCTTTGACCTATATAATGTTAGCAAACGTAGAAACACTACTTGTAAAGTATTGCAGCATTACTTTGATATCTTAGTATACTATAGATTGATAAGTGAAATAACTTGACGCTTTACTATCGTAGTACAAATCAACACACCGCAGAATTCCTTACCTAAAAATATTATTCTTCAGATACTTGAAAAAAAAACATCGTTGTCTCAATCATTTTAAAATCAACAGTAATTATTGAGTACATTATAAATTTCGTATTTTTGAAAGAGAAAATTTTCAGACAAAAAAAAAACACAAAGTTTATCCTATATTTTTAATTTTCATATATTTAGCAAAGATTGTGTCTTGCTAATATTGCATAGGATACTCATTCGATGGATATTCTGAAATATTATTACGATTAGTATCATGGGAATCATTTTGCTCCACTCCAATCATATGTGACGGTGCAAGTGCATCCAACAATGAACGAAAACGTATATCACGACAAGCATTTCGTTGTACAATACGATTTTCACGTTGTTGTAAAGCACATAATGATTTACGATCAAGTGGTGTATTTCGTACATCAATTGTTTGTACAAGTTTCCTATAATCCGCTATGCAATCGACTTGAACAATACGTTTATCATCACGATCCAGACACCGCAAAAGACGTTCTATTTCATTTGAATGCAAATTGTCTGCTGAAGTTTGTGTACTTGTCATTGTACTTATACTAGTAGTTTTTGGTCGTTGCCAGCTACTTATAGATCCTGAAGGAGCCGATGAGTCTAATGTTCTCCATGCAGGTACACTCAATACATTGGTTTGAGATTCACATGTATTTCTACTGGTCGTAGGACGTTGTGTAATGTGAGAAACTTGAACATTTGTAGTAGGTTGACGAGTAGATCGATGATAAGCTGATTGAACACGATTTATACGAATGGTACTCATTACTTTGTCGGTGAATATAAATTTAATATAATTGATTTTTTTCAACCGAGAAGAAGTTATTTTTTACTTTTTCTTCTTAAATACACAAAAAAAGTTTTTTTTTATCGAATACTAAAAAGTGACATAACTTACACTGAAGAATGGAATAAGATCAATTTTTGCTTGTCATTGAAACGTTCGAATATTGATCTTTTTAGTTTGTTTCTTACTTTTTTTCAAGTAACTCTAACAGCTAGGCTTTTGTTTTTACAATACTCGATCAAAAATAAGAGAGCAAATACTTCTTTCTATTTTTTTTTATTCTTATAATTAGAAATCATTGAGAATCACTTCTCGTAACTTTCTTCATCATAATGATTCTGTATGAAAACTGAAGCCTGCTATATACAACAGACAAAAACAAAATAAAAACAAACGAAACGACCAATTGTTTTATGTCTAAGCCATGACAATAATAGAAAAATACAACATTTTTATTGATCAAATTTTTTTTTTAAATGTATATAGAAAAACAATCCTACATCAAACAAGAAACAAGATTTCTATAAGAAATAATTTTAATAAATTTTAACCAAATGTTCATTTGTTATTGGTCGACTTGATGTTGGACATCGATGGTATCGTTTAACATAGTCACTAATACATGCATGACAATAAACATAACTCGAACCAAGTATCACTGTTGGTATATTACATGAATGTCGACAAAGAGGACATTGATGTTTATTATCAAGTCTAGGTCGTTTTCGATCAATAATAGGTGATGATGGATTGGTAACATGATTGACAGAGTTTTGTTTTGAACCATAAGAATTATTCCACCAGTCGATCAATTGAATAAGAAATAGACCATTTGAAATAATTTGACTAATTATAGAAAAAAATCGACTCGTATTTGATAATGATGGAATAGTTGGTGATGGATCTTTGGCATAAGTTAATTTAACATTTGCTAAATGAAGAGTTGGACTATAATATTTAATTAAACCAAATGCATAACTCAAACGGTAGAGCCAACTGATACCATCGACAAGAATCTTTAACGAAATAAAAAATAAGAACATTATTTCTACTTATTAATGAAAAGTTATTTGATAGATTATTATTATTGATTTTAGGTGAAGAACTTACTTGAATTTTAGGTAAAAGTTGCAAAACCATATAGTATGTGACATGACGATTAGTATTGTTGTCATGCATTTGTTTATGTAAGGAATTAAGTTTTAATTTGACATAAGGTAAAAAAACCGAAAAAATAAGAGAACGTAATCGATGATCTGCTGTTCGTTTTAATCCATAAAAATGTTCACCGATAAGAGCCGAATGAAAATGAAGATAGAACCATTGTAAAATACCTTCAATAAGTAATATGAATTCATCTTTATATTGATAAAGCATTTTAAGTAAACTAGATAATGGACGTATTCGTTGTAAAATTTTGAGAATTTGTTGAAGACAAGGACGAATTAAATTAGTGAAACGTTCTTGTGCCAGTAATTCCGATAAACTTGGTAAAATTGGTGAAAGAGAAGCAGATGATGACATAAAATCAAGTGTCGAATGAATATTTGTTGATGACATGTTAGTTTAATGAATACAAAATGATTATTCTACGCGATCGATCTATAAATCGTAACAGGAAAAACGAATCATCGTCGAAGTTACTTGGTGAGACGACATCTGGATATGATGGAAACATCAAAAATAAGCAATAACGATAGAAACTTATTACATCAGATGATATATTCACCTAAATATTTTATTTTTAGAAAAAATTGATTTTCCAACAAAAGATGACGCTACACTACATGAATGCAACAGGTTATACTGGGTTGTCTATATCAATGATGAGTTTTATTCTAGTGAATTTCTCTGATGATTCAAATATATGTGATGAACATATAGGTTGTACACTAGTGAAGCTAGTAAAACCAGATTATTCAGCTGAAGAAAAATTGTCATTTTATTGGATAATGTATTCATAGATCATCAGCGAAGAGGAATTCAAAAAAAAATACACTTTGAAATGACCATCTTGACAACCACTATATGAGCCATTGCACGTAAGCCACGACCAACGTTGCTCAATAGATTTCACCAATTTGACTGATGTTTTTACAGGAGATAGATCTAGTAAAGTTACGAAGAAACTGAAAATTTCAGCTCAAACAAATGATCTGTTCTGGAGATATAGACGATACAAGTATGCGGGGGTAGGCTACATTTGGAGTACTTTTTAGTGCAGTACTTTTCAGTAAATTTTAATTTTCTAAATAACGACAAGAATTATAACGGAGATTTTTTTACCATAGATACTATCGACCATGGGCTGTCTTTTGATGAGATTGAAAGTACCTTTTTGCCGAATGTTTTTGGGTTGGTATTATATGCCATTTTGGGAAAGTGTGTCTACGTATATAGGGCAAGTTGGTCGAATTAGCGCAGTAGAATAGCTCGAGAGTAGTCTCATTTGAAAGAGCACATCAAAATGCATAGACTGACGTTTTTAAAAATTTGTGGAATTGAACTTTTCTATAGAAATTTTTTTCCACAACATTTGGTTTTTTTATCGAAAATCTCCGTTTGAAAAAAAAATAGTTGCATTCAATATTTTTAATATTTCATTTTTATAAATTGATGTTTTAGGAAAAGTAATTATATGTTCTGATAGCGCGTGAAATTCTGCATCTTTTGATGTATTACTCAAAAGACAAAAGACGTGCATGGGTATGCAGTAGGGGTCACAGTTGGTGCACTATGCGACAAAACTGTCAAAAATCTGTTAGTACTTAGCAGTTTTTATCGTTATAGATCAATTTGAGAGAAAAATAAATAGCATATTCGGAATCAGCGCAAAAAAACTGCATCAAACCAGATATTTCTTGGAAAAAAACTTTTTCACCAAAAATTGACCTGGAGGGGACCACGGGAAAATTTTTGAAAAAGTGCTGAGGGGGACCACAGGTCGATTTTTGATGAAAAAGTTTTTTCCAAAAAATATCTGGTTTGATGCAGTTTTTTGCGCTGATTCCGAATATGCTATTTATTTTTCTCTCAAATTGATCTATAACGATAAAAACTGCTAAATACTAACAGATTTTTGACAGTTTTGTCACATAGTGCACCAACTGTGACCCCTACTGCATACCCGTGCACGTCTTTTGTCTTTTGAGTAATACACCCAAAGATGCAGAATTTCACGCGCTATCAGAATATATAATTACTTTTCCTAAAACATCAATTTATAGAAATGAAATATTAAAAATATTGAATGCAACTATTTTTTTTCAAACGGAGATTTTCGATAAAAAAAACCAAATGTTGTGGAAAAAAATTTCTATAGAAAAGTTCAATTCCACAAATTTTTAAAAACGTCAGTCTATGCATTTTGATGTGCTCTTTCAAATGAGACTACTCTCAAGCTATTCTACTGCGCTGATTCGATCAACTTGCCCTATATACGTGGGCACGCTTTCTGAAAATAGTGTATGATGCTAAGCAAAAATTATCTGACGATGGAATAGTTTCATTACCATGAAAAGATAGCCCATGGTCGATAGTATATACGGTGAAAAAATCTCGGTGATAACTCTTATTGTTCATTAGAAAATGAAAATTTACTGAAAAATATTGCACTACAAAATATTCCAAATTTAGCTGAGTACGAATACTTTCACGGTCTACCTCTCCAGAACAGCTCATTCGTTTGAGCTGAAATTTTCACAGTGTTCGTAACTTTACTAGATCTATCTAATGTAAAAATATCAGCCAAATCGGTGAGATCGATTGAGCAAGGAACTACTGGGAATGGTGGTCGCTTAGGTGCAATGCCTCATATGTTAATATTGATTAGAGATTCTTGGTTAGGAATTTGATGAGTTATTTATAATAACATGTACTGATATAATGTCCAAAAATAAGTATAAATGCATACAAGAAAATAATTTAGTTAAGATATTTATCTTGCAAATGAATTTTCATTGGAAACATGATTTACTTTAATCATTAGATAAAGTTAGATGATAATTGTGGCAACTCATGCGTCAACCAATAAGCTGCATTGAGTTTTTAAAAGAGTCATTGTGTCGATATTAATATATCTTTTTCATTGATGTCATCGCTTCTTTTTCTTCTT